ATCCCATTCACATTTAACTAATTGCTTTGTCTCGCAATTTATTCATAGGCTGTGTTTGATTGTGTGGTGACTTCACTCAAAAATGTGTTCAATATTTTAATAGTTTATATGTTATTTCAATTCATATTTGCTGTGATCGCTGTCCAACTATTCAACGGCCGATTTAATTACTGTACCGATGAATCAAAATTGTTTGAATCCGAGTGCGCGTAAGTGACTGATTAATTTGGATCAACATTTTCTATTGTTTGCTAATTATTCATGTTATGACTTATACTAAATGATAATATGTTAACATTTTAGTGGTGAATATTTTTTATTCACGTTAAACAACGCACCGCCGACTGTCAAAAAGAGGAGTTGGGAGAAACATCCCTTTCATTACGACAACGTTGTCATCGCTATACTCACTCTATTCACTGTACAGACCGGCGAGGGCTGGCCTCAGTATGTCATCCCTTTTATTCTCATCTCTCATAACGATATGAATTTATAAATAGCATAATATGAGTGCAATTATAATGATTGGTTGTTTGTCTCTTAAAGAGTGCTCCAAAACTCGATGGACTCAGTATTTGAAGATCACGGCCCACTGCCGCGCTTCCGGATCGAGATGTCCTTATTTTACGTCATATTCTTCATAGTGTTTCCCTTCTTCTTCGTCAATATCTTCGTTGCCTTAATTATTATCACATTTCAAGAACAGGGAGAGAAGGAGCTCGAGGAGGGCGAGCTCGACAAGAACCAGAAGTCTTGTATTGACTTCGCCATACAGGCGCGACCACTGCAGAGGTATATGCCTAAGGATAAGGATTCACTCAAATATAAGATATGGAGGGTTGTCGTGTCCACTGCTTTCGAGTACTTCATTATGGTTTTGATTGTTCTCAACACTATTCTACTGATGATGAAAGTAAGTCTCCATTTCTTTCCATCACTACTGCTTACTATTAAGTTTGTATTTTATTGATTATTGATTATTGCAATGAATGCCTTTAGCTATAATTTATTTTTCTAATTGTAACAATTAAATTTTATATTAGTTTATATTATTCTATTGATTTTTATATTATTTTTACCTAATTTATAAGTTAATTTTAAAATATTGCAATATAACTTATCATAAATTATACTTTTACAATATATTATATAAATCAATATATTGCTATTATATAATAATTTATACTATAATTATTTAATTATTTATTATATTAGATGCTTAGAGAAACTTTATTTAATACTATATTTAGTTATACAGTACTGTACATATTAGCTATAAATATCATTTATTAGTAAGCCAATGATTTATTATTTACTAATTTATTTTAAATAAGAATTATTCATATTATAATAAATATATGATCAAAAATTCAAAATATATTTTAATTATAAATTTAAATTAAATATTTTCTAGTTTATGTATCTAACAATAATATTATAAAATTCAATATAAATATAAATAATTTACACTAAATGATAAGAATAATATATTGTAATACCGAATATTTTGCTGCATTTGGTGCTCATTGTGCTCATTGGAGTGCATGTCATATAAATATTGTTGAATAAATGAAAAGATAATTTAAATTTTACAAAATAATATCTGGGATAATAGCAGAATTATGATATTTGAAGCAAATATCTGTATCTAATGTATTAATGCATGAATATATTGCAGATATTGCATATTGAATATCATTGGAAAGAAAGTAATGACGAAATAATGGTGCAAATTGTGATTAATTCTATATTCATATAATTTATATTTATATTTATAAAGGACTTTGACTAACCCTGAAATCATTTAGATTCCACTCATTCTTCCCTTTCCTTTCAATACCCATTCCTTAATAGAATTCCTTTCCTATAAAAGGCTTTAAGAAGAAAAAGGTCTCATTTTAGCCATAAATCCATTAAGTGGTTGTGTTCAGGCATAGGAATATTCATTTATAATCAATAAACATTTTGAGTTATATTAAAAGTTCTCTAACTACAAAATTAAACAACTTAAATTAAATTTAATTAAATTAAATTAAAACAAATTAAATACAAAGCCTGTATATAAAAATGTTATTAAATCAATCATTTAATTATCTTATCCAATAATATTTTTTAACAAGGAAATTAATTTTTAAATGCATTAATTCAATTTATCTAAATAATTTATAAGTATTTTTTAGCATGAATTATATACTTTCATAATTGTTGATAAAAATATCTTATGGTATATAATAAATAATTTACCGTTAGATAACACAAAAAAAGTAAGTTGAGTAATAATACTAATAATATAAATAATTGATTTATAATTGAATTATATACTTATAAGACATCAAAATCTCTGCTTTCTATACACTTTGCACAACAATCTCTTGATTGTGAACTTCTTTCATTGTCTTTCCTACTCAACTGAGTTTGCATTTTAAATATCACTTCACTTCAAGACACATTTATTTATATATAAATATAATAACCTGTATACTAAATATACGGTTTATAGTTTGGATAAACTTTTAGATGACGTGATCACTAAAAGCGAAAAACTAAAACTTAGGAATAATTTATCTCTTTTTATAAGAGAATTCATGCGAACAAATAGTTTCCACTCGTTTTGTGGATATATATGTAATAAAGAATTTTCTGTTCAGACATTTCACATACACTTCAAAAATATGTCCACAATTTATTAAATGACTCGTTAAGACATTACACACAATAGACAATAAAATGGGGCAACCATTTTCAGAAATGGGTAGAAATATAGTTTTATACAATATTTGCTATTTTAATGTATATTAATATCCTGCTCCTTTATATTAATTTCTATTCAATACATGTACTTTATCTTATACAGAAACATTTTCTTTTTTCTATCTGGCATAAAATATTTAAATTAAAAATTTGCCGTTTATTTATTCATAATAGCCATTAGAGATGACCAATTGGTAAACCATCAAAAATCTAAAATTATTACATTAACTTAGATATGAGTACAGTTAATGTACAATTACCATAGTGCATTATCACAATATTACTATAAGTTTAATAACATATCTTATAATAACAATAGTAATATATTTGCAATTTATTTATGAGCTTATTTGTTAAACATATGATATAATATATAATAGAAAAATAATTTCAAAATGATATAATTCATTGTTTCATTAGAATAACTTTTATTAAATACCTTGTTAATCAAGTGTTTTGCTAAATAAAAGTCAATCTCTAAGAGATGACATATGAAAAGCTCGTGTCCGTTTGCATTGCCTTTTGTCCATCTCTTTTGGCAGTACTTCTCTAAACTGTATTGTGTTTGTATGGGTTGTGTGGCCGTTGTCTGACTGTCTTTCTATTGCTTTAATTCTCTATATATTTAGTACTATCAACAGACCGATGAGTACAAAATGACTCTGCAGTACACAAATGCAACCTTTACCGCACTCTTTACCCTTGAATGTATGCTCAAGATTACTGCGTTCGGATGTCGGGTAAGGTATTCCAGTCTCAGACACCCCACCCACTCACCCACCCATACATTATGTCCATACGTATGGGTATAATCGCCAACAAGAAGGGGAAGGAATCTGATACTAAACGATCAAATCTTGTGAAACATGGCTTCACATTAATTTGCTGCATGTGTTCACTAAGTCTACCATAAAGTGGACATATATTTTATACATTATAATATACAATATATTGTATTTATCAGATTATATCAGGTTACTAGTTTATAATAGACCATATTTCAAATATTTCTCTTAAATCTGATAAACTCTTTTGTATCTAAAAAATAATTACAAAAATCTCATTGACTTCGAAAGGAATTCTTGTTGAAACTGGTATTGAGGGGCAGTTATATATGGCCTCCAAAATTCTCACATGACTTCTAACCTCCTGACCCTTTCCTCCATAACCCACATATCGATTGTCCGCATGGCATGAATTCTCGGTTAGATTTAGATATTTCTGTCAATTCAATGAAACCAAAACTATTGATTCGTTTATTGAAGTGCATTTGAAAAGCATTATTCATATAAGTCTTGCATTAATTAACAAATGTATTGTATTGAAAGCATGCATTCTATGGTTACTTGTTTTCATTAAATGAAATAAAGAATTTTGATAAAAGCACGAAATGTTCGCTTTAATTATTATTGTTATTAATAATAACTACACATATATTAAGACTTATTTTAATGATAAATGTTATTAATTATATTTTCTACATTAATGTATAATAGAAATCCATACCAATCTCTCTCTCTCTCTCTTTCTCTCTCTCTCTCTCTAACATTTTGAAATTTCACGTATATTTTGTATTTATTTATTAAATTTTCAATTTTGGTTAAACATATACGTATTTAAAACACATTCTTATTAATTATTGCACAAAATTAATTATAACCAATATTTATCAAATAAAATACTGATGTATTTTATAATTTTCAAGCATTTTATTTTTTATAATTTTTATTTTATAATTTATTTAATTTAAATTTATATAGATTAGTCTTGGAATATTCAAGTAATAATTGAAATTTTTAATTTGTTGAGCACTTTTTATTTAATACAATTTAAATATACCTAAAAAACAAATCCTAATGTTATTTATTTTAATTGTTTGATTAATTATAGTTTTCTAATTCTTAATTATGAACTGGTAATCATTATATCTAAAAATTCAATTATTACTTATATCTTTCCAGTTTGATTACCACCATTAATTAATTTAATTTATGCTTGCTTATTGTGAATAATATTCTATATACCTGCACACATTTTAGTGAATGCTTTGCTAATAATGAACCACATAGTTCTCATACAAATATTGATCAGTGTATGAAAGCGTGTGCTGTCTCATTGTGACCCGGATGATATGAGTGATACTATACTGTATGTATGCCTTTATTTTCTCTCCAACTAGTATCACGATGCAGACCCCTATTATGTAGACGTGTTGAGCTACATGAACGAGCTGTTCACTGCACTCTTCCTATTAGAGTGTATCCTCAAACTCATTGCGTTAGGATGCAAGGTTAGACATCATAATCATATACTAAACTACATTGCCAGAGATGTGCAAGCTACACCACTAGGCCCAACACCTATCACCAGGCTAACTAGGCATTTCATTCAACTAGTTTCAAATTGATTTTTGAATTTAAAGTTTCAAATCAAATGATCACTTGATTTGGGATTATATTGATAGTAAATTTTAATATCAGTTACAGTACTTTAAACTTTAAATCTTGTTGCACATCTCTGTTCTAAAATATCAATTTATAAATATTTAATATTTAATTTAATTTAAAGTAATATTTTAAAATCTTTATTTAAGCTAAAACATAAGCTATATAATATAAAAATTAAATTCTTTTAAGATGTTTAAATATTTGTACAAAATTGACGATTGTATTCAACACAATTACAAACTCTCGACTAAACATATGCAGCAAATTCTCGCTGAGAAAAACAGATTATTTCATCACTCCTTCTCTCTCACCCTCTCTCTCGTCGATATTATCATTGAATAAAAATTTTAATTTCTATTTCTATTCCTATTTCACTGAAACACAAATACAAAGAATTTTTTCAAAGACTCGTGGAATACGTTTGACTTCATAACAGTTGTCGGCTCTGTTATCGACGCCCTGGTCATGGAGATCACAGTCAGCAATAAGGTCAGCCCCATCAGCTCATACATGTCATCATATGATTAACCATTATTTATCCAGAATAATTACTTTTATGAAATATGTCAAATATATAGACAAATATGTTGCCAATAATGACAATGTTTTTCCCTAAACAGGAATTCAATTTCATAAGCGTTGGCTTTTTGCGTTTGTTTAGAGCGGCCAGACTTATAAAGCTATTAAGACAGGGATATACTATACGTATACTTCTCTGGACTTTTATCCAATCATTTAAAGTGAGTTTCATTATAAATACACTTACACAGTGTATTTTACTAATATTTATACCGATCATAACACTTAACTAATTGTAAATTTTATTTGTGTTTGCATTCAGGCACTGCCTTATGTATGTTTGCTGATCGCTATGTTATTCTTTATTTATGCAATTATCGGAATGCAGGTAAGGGTTCCCCTGGAACTACACTTTTATGTATTTGTCGCTAAACTAATGCTTTATTTTAAACTATATAAATTATAAATATATTAGCTAGATTTATTTTTATAATGTATGTCTAAGTATAGTAGTTGTAAATTGTATTGTATAAAAAATTAGTATAAGATGCTTTAATAGTAAAATAGTATAAACCTATAGTAATAGTTTTGTACTGTAGTAGCCGTATAATTGTGTCAACACATCGTAATAGAGATGTTTTCAATTGTTATTTCTGTTGAAAATAACACATTGAAATGAAATGATAATTTTAATTAATCAATCAAAATTTCAAAACTAATCACAAGTTTATTGAGAAAAACATTTCTGTTTCGATGATATTATTCTTAGAAAGTATTAAAACATATTAGTGTTTGTGTAAGAAAAATGTAAATTGTAGTACAAATAGCAAATGTGATGTAAAAATTGTGTACAAATGATGGGCTGAAAAGATTGATCTGTATTAGAGATGTTGTCGTATATATATATTAGACAATTAGTGGCGTTCACGCGCACATACACTGTCACCCCCTCACCGACACCCTAACACCCTCTGGCATCCATCCGTTCACTAAACCCCACTACAAATCATCACAATTATCAGTAGGTATTGAATAGAAATGAATGCCAAATTCCCAGCAAAATAGAAAGTAGCCATTTATATAAAGCAATTGTCCCCTCATTAGTAGTTTGCACCCAAAGCTAGTCATGTAATCATAAATGTTAGACAACCCGATGGCATAGAATAGCATTTATATGTCTATTGATTAAATTATAAACGCTATGGTAATCTGCGGTCAATTATAACTCGATGAGTGTTTTTCCAATCACTAATCAAATGAACACCTTTGACACACAACCTCCCACTCCCCCATTCACACGCTGTGCGGCACCGGATAGGTATTTGGGAATATGGAGTTCCAAGACGACTCCGAGATCAATCGACACACCAATTTCCGTACTTTCACGGACTCATTAATATTGCTATTCCGGTGAGTTGTTGCTATCATCACAAACCAAACTCGACCTCTGCTCTAGTAGACAACAAACATACCTAGCAATTTTCTAGACAATTTGCAAACATATGAACAACCACTTTTTTCAAATGTTCACATTTTAAAATATTTTCGCTAAACACTAATGATATCAATTATTTATTAAATGTTGACTCAAACTTGTGGTACTCGTTGTGTATTGTATTTTTATGATGACATTTGTATAACAATGTTGTATTAGTTGTAACAGTAATGTATTCTAAATGGTAGTTGTACGGGTATTTTTTGTACACTATATGCTATTGTATTTATATTGTATAACATAGTGCTTATGCTAATACATAGATTTAGTAGTAATACTGTACTATTGTAGTAATACTAGTGATTTGTTGATGAAATGATGAGATAATTTTGATTTAAGTAGAGTAATCCCAGTGCTTGTGTTCTGTAGGTGTTCGGCAATATATCAATAAATCCCGAAATCAATTCTGACAGTAACTTATCCAGACATAACAATTTTAGAACTTTCATACAAGGATTAATGCTACTGTTCAGGCAAGTAGTGGTTCTTAGCACCCGTCCCCTACTTCTCGCTCTCCCCTCCCCTTCCCTCCCCTCCACTCCCTTTCATCTTAATATTCTCATGTCTTATGTCTTGCATTCTCTCCCATTCATTGTTCCCTCAATTCTATATTCATATCTATTATTGTATTTATATGTTGTATATATTGAATGCATTTTACAAAATATATTGAACGCTATTCTACATCATATGGTAAGACAATTGGATGGAAGGGTAAGAGTTTGTCAAAATATGCAACCATTACATGTCGTATCAGTTAATCGTTATCCCAAATGAGCTTTTCAATCAAAATGCACTCAAATTTACACGAAAACTGTTTTTTCAAATGAACGACAATCACATTATTTGTATTACCATTCAATTAACACATCTTTTTGGTATCCGTTGTGCTGCCGGTGTGGACATACAGGTGCGCGACAGGCGAGGCCTGGCAGTCGATTATGTTGTCCTGTGTTTCGGGCAAACCATGCGATACTAAGACCAATAAGACAGAAGATGAAATGTTTTCGTGTGGTTCAGACCTTGCTTATTCATATTTTGTCACTTTCATATTCTTTTGCTCATTTCTCGTAAGTATAATAAATACTTGTTAGTTACCATTCATTAAGTACGTACAGAACGTATCAATTTGAAAGTTTCTAATAGAAACTCTAATCCTTCCCCCTTTACGGACGTACTTATTGAATGAAATAATAAACTTTATTTGCATTTTATAATTGAACTAATCATATCTATTAATATATCATATATTTTATACCAATTCTATGGCAAAGATGTTGAATCTATTCGTGGCTGTTATTATGGATAACTTTGATTACCTAACCCGTGATTCTTCTATACTGGGAGCCC